CACAGCTTGGTTGCTCAGAGAATGTGCAGAAGTCAGTAAGGCAGGGCAAAGACATGCAAAAGGAGTTCTTTCTTTTGAAATGCCATGTGCCATTGTCCTTCCTCCCTTCCTTGCTTCTTTTTCTTTTTTTACCCTCTCTTTAAATTGCAGATGCCAAAAAATAAGCCAACAGACACTACATTACCCCAATGGCTGCTACCCAGAGCCTTTTTGTAGTTGCTCTTAATTTTTTTTCCCTTATTAAGACTTTTCCTCCATTTTTTTTCTTATTGTTTGGACCACAATTTTTAGATGACTTTTATTATGGGTAATAATAAAATTGCCAAAGCTGGCTTTTTGTAAACCAGAGTAAGATCTTAAAAGAGAAAAGCCAGTATCTTAAAATGTAAGAGAATAAGACTGTGAAGCCTAAACTAATTGGCTGTGAATGAACCTGAAACACCAATTGCCAAACAATTGGTAACTGTAAATTTGAGTCTCATGGTCCATTCTTTTCTTTGCCCTTAAATCACATTGTTGTGTCCGTGTTCCATGTTGAATGTCCAAATTGGCAATGTGGAAAGTGTCCTCTGTGATGCAACATGAAACCTACTTGTGTCTCTTCATTTGACACCAGTTTTACTCTCTGTATGTTCTTTAAGGTCGAGTATGTCTGCCAAGAACATTGATTGATAGTATTATTCTGACACCTTTAATTTGCAAATCTGAAGTTACCGCTAGTTTACCACTTTTGGACCTTTTTAAACTGGTGACTGGTTTAGTTAAACTTAAGGAAGATTTATGGACTTAACTCAAAAGTAACCTCTCTGTTGTGTAGAACATGTATTTATGTAACTGAACCTACTAAGAGAGATGTTTGGAATTCTATATGTGCAATTTTCAACAAATGCAAAAAAATACAGCACATGTATTGATGAGCTTCTGTCAAGCAGCTGGAGTTGAAATATGATTTAGGAAAATAAATCATAATTGTTTTAAACGTGCTGGGAAGTTAGAATCAGGCCATGGCACTGGTCTCATTTTAACTACAATACTATTTGGCACGAGTCTAAACTTCCATATAGATCAATCTCTTGGAACAACAAAAGGGAAGGAGAAAATGAGTAGCTTATTAGATGAGTACCAGAGTTACTCAATAGTAATGGAACGTTCTCATCCCTTACTCTCCCAGCCTCAAACAACACAGGTTACTTTTTTTCCTTTCTCAGAAAGCACCTGTAATTTAAGAAACAGACTGCCTATAGGTATAGTGCAATCATGATTGCTCTAATCATTGTACATACATCTCTCTCTTGATATTGCAGCATCCATACTGGCTTTGTAATCATTAATTTTTTGGCAGATTGAATGTGCTGTATTGATATGTATCTATGTAATTGTATTGTATGTCTTATAGCTAATTCACATTTTGGATAATGTTATTTTATTTACTTTTTTAAGAGAGGAGAATGTAAATTTGTCAGTTTATTTCTGACTAGGGATATTTTTTTTTTCCATTTAGAAAAGAAGAAAAAAAAAAAACCTTACTATCGTACAGAGCGGTACTAGCATCGTGCTGTATAAAATCATTTGCACATTCCTGAGTAGAGGTATACTGATTCTAAGACCCAAAGGTAATTTCATAGCAAAATACATAAATCAGTCAGAGCTTTTATACAAACATGGAAACCAACTTTGTAGAACTTTTGCCATTTGACCTAGGATTGGAATATGAGCTTTTATACAATTCATATTCTTATTTGGCAGATGCACAGTTTAGTATTACCTCTCTGATGGCCTTTATTAGAAAGGCAGTTTTAGAAGCTATTGTGATCCACTAAGGAAATGTTTTAACAGCTAGAGACCACTGCTTGCCTGAAAGGGCAATCTTAAATTTGGTGCAGCAAAAAAATTTAAAAAAAAGAAAAGAAAAAAAAAGTAAACATTTGAAGGCCTACAGTGTGTATAGAGAAAACCTCATCACAAGATCATAAGTGTTACAGTTGTAGGGAATCAAGATATTCTATTTAATAGAGCTATAGTAGATTGTAGTCAATTAAACCTGATCTCAAAGCTCGAAGAAGCCGAGCAAAACAGGGAAAGATTGTTTTTAATTTGTCTTTATGAAATTGGGATGGAATTGCTATGCAGAATTGAGGTTTGTGGCTTCACTGTTCCTCTTAGGGTGCATGACAAGATCCCTTCTCTTGAGAATGGAAAAAATTGATCACCCTAGCTGCAGTGATGCATAGAAACCTAATTGTATCCACACTAGTCAATCGAAGCTAAAGGATTTTCTTTTTTGTTTCTTTGGGGTTTTATTGAAGGGGCTTGGGGGCGGGAAGGGATTCTTTTCAGTTTTGTATAAAAACAAAGTTTACTCATGCTTTATATTATATTGTGATTGCAAGCGTTCTAAGCGTGTGCCACTGGACTCCTATTGATGCTCTAGGTAATGGAGGCCTGTGGTGAGTTTCATGGTGACTTGGGCATGTTTTATTCAAAAACAAACACACAAAAACCTTTCTTCAGCATACCAAGGCAAGCAGCCATTTCATGACTCACTTAATACATTGCAGTGTACCAGTTTACAGATGATTTTTCCCTTTTTTGCGTGATACGGCAGTTCCAACCCACAGAGAATTCCTTATTTGTAAATTGGAGGTTTGTACTATGCCTTACAGAGCTTAAATTAAGAAGTTTGTGCCTCACATCTGAAACAAAGGGAAATAACAGACCCATTCAAAAGTAAATAAATCCCCTAAAATGGTTTTTCTTTTTTTTTTTTTAACATTTCCATATAAAGAGCTCTGTTGAATGTCATGAATAGACTGGGGGTGGGGAGCAATCTTAGGGACCTGCTATGTTGTTTACTATCAGATGACATCTACAAAAGGTATTGGAAAGACCCCTGAAAATTGTACTTTTTTGTAGATTAACTGGCAGGTCTAATATTTAAGAAAAAGGTAATTCAGCTAAAGGACAATTTACTTTTTGTACTTCAGACTATCTTGATTGTCAAGGTGTATGAACTGTAATCTTAAAATTTATACTGCCACATGATTGTAAATTTTAGTTGTCTTAAGTTAGGAATCAGTGAAATGCTATTTATGCTGGATTTGGGTCAAAATGACTATTATTTGCAAAAAAAATGGGAAGAAAGGGCTGCATAATGAGATACTGCAAGACTCATATTGGTTGGAAATAACCTTCAAATTACTCTTCATTTTCCCTTTGTGTTCAGTTTCTCAAAAAAGAATGAATGAAATGAAATATAGCAGAATGTTAACCCATATAAAAATAAAGTGTACCCAAAAATTGTAATGTATATTGCTGCTCTTCTTAAAATTAAATAAGGGTTTAAAACCACTTAATTGGTAATCGACATCTCAATTGATACAAATAAGGTGTGCTTGGTATCCATTAATATTTTCTTCCAAAGATGTATCTTTGATTAGAAACACATACAAAAATTAAAATAATATTGTATGTTTATCTTGATCTACATATTTCCAGCATATGTAGTGTTAATAGATCTGCCCTGGTAACTATGTCTTCAGGATTTCATTTTGGTTCCATGGAATTAGGAAAAGAAATGGCTTAGTTGTATATGATTAGCTAGAGATTTTGGGAGCTGGACATCCGCTGTTTAGTAGATGCTTAGTACTGAGTCTAAACTTGTCATTTATTTTTCTCACAGAATAATAAACCATTTTCCTGCCTTCTTCCCAATTACCAATGCCCTTTCAATAACACTTTTGCCTCTAGAATCATCTGTTCAAAGGATGCATACACACCTAGCTTATAGTGGGTGTTCAAATAATAATTTCCTTCTTACTTCCCTATCTATCATGTACCTCCATTTCCCCAAATGATTCCAGCCCTATAGTAAATGACATTTACATGTTATTAAAACACCTATTGGGTAAAATTGGGTCTTACTTGGATAAAAAAATTCTGATTTTCATAAGCTGTGGTAGACAAAAAAATAACAGGGAGAAATATTCTTCAGTAGAAGTTTAGGGAGAAAAAATAACTGTAACTTTGTTCAGGTTACTTTAGCTGAAACATGTTTTGATGGATTTTCTTTCCTCAAAAAACTCTAAATGCAACTTCTTGCTGGATTCCTCACCTGTCATCACGTTGGAAACTTACTAGACCTATGTATTTAGGGAGTTTTGTCAGAAAACATTTTTAACTTGCAGTATTTAAAAGAATCATATTTACTGTTCTTAAAATGTCATTCAAATGCATGTATTGTCTATTGTTTGGGGATGGGAACTAGTTTTGCAAAAAACACCTAATGTTGTATAATAATGCCCCAATGATCTTGCTGGTTAAAAATACAGTATTTTTGGCCATAATTTTGTACTATAGTATTCTTCATTCTTGAGTTTTGC